TTCTTAATACACAATTGTTCTTTAATACAAAGCTCTTTCTTATACACATATGAGTGTCTATGAATTTGTTTCTCTAGTCCACCCTAACCAGCACCTATCTGTTGTCAGATGGGTCAACATGAAGTTATACCAGAGTAAGGTGGGTCCTCATCCCATGGGATGCTGTCCTTCTGAACAAGAAGGGCAGAGATAGGGCAGTGCTCAGAGGACAGGTGGCCATGTGACGAGGCAGTCACCAGCCAGGGAAGCCTGGGATTGGCAGGAGCCCCCATTTATTAGTAGAGGGGCTTGGGACAGTTTCTCTCTCAGCCTCAGAAGGAAGCAGCCTGGCTGACAGCTCCTTCTAGACTCCAGGACTGTGGTCACACACATTTCTGTTCTTAGGAGCCCAAACTCCTGGCTTTCCCACCAGGTCACTCGGGCAAACCCTGTCTCCTCTTTGGGATTCAGTTGTTCTATCTGGATAGTGGGGTCAGAATGGGACCTCTTTTAGCCCGATTGTCCTGGGAGTCCAGTCCACGCAGCTTCCTCTGGCTGAGGGGCTGACCACTCCCAAGCACGGGACTTCAGCAGCACCATCAAAGAGTCTGTCCCCCAGGTCCCTGCAGGAGTAAATAGAGAGGAATGACCGTGTGCCCTCAGGAGGGGCCGGTGCCCCGAGCAAAGCGAGGACTTGTCCCTCAGAGCAGATGTTGAGAGAGGAGAGGCCCCTGGGAGCACAGCTGACCCTGGGGGAGCGGGGGCGGGAGGACTTCCCGAAATGCCTGTCTCTGACGGGCAATCAGTGGGAACCACAGGAACCAGCTGCTCACCCGTCCATGCCCCTGAGGACAAAGACACTCCGGTTGAAACTGGAGGGACAGATTGCACCCATAGGCTGCTGAGCTGGGGAATTGGGATCCCCGGGCTGGAATCCATCCCTTGGGGCCAAGGAGGGACAGCTGGGGTGGGAGGTGGGGGGTGAGGGTGGGAGCGACTGATGAATTGGACCATCAGAATGTGCACTTGCTCCCTGCTTTAGCAGATAAGTGGGACCTGGTACTACCCAGCCCTCTGAGCCTGGGGGAGAGTCCTCTTCCTCCAACCCAGGAGCCCCAAGCCAGACCTCCAGGGCTCCCCAAGGCCCTTGGGTGCAATGATGAACCTCTGCCTGGAGCTTGTGGTCTGCAGAGCCTGGGGGGTCCCACTCACATCTCCCCACTTCTCATCCTTGCCTGGCTACTGCGATACCTGTGCCTCCCCTCGGATGGGAGCTACCCTACACTCAGTCCCTCTTCCAGGAAGCCCCCGGGATGCACCCAGCATCTCGAATCAAGCTAGTTCCAGAGGCCAGTTCCTCGCTAAGGGTCCTGGCATGCCTCCATTTGGAACAGCAAGGGTCTGACGGGGTGGCCTGGGGCAGGGCCAGTGGACTGTGAGGTGGGTCTAAAGAAGGTTCCTGAAGGAGGAATGTGCTGACTGACAGAGAGAACCAACTAGACATCAGTGTCTGAACCTGCCCTGGTAGAGGCCACAGATGCAAACCAGCTCTGCCTCACCCCTGCCATGCTAGACCAGGCTGCGCGCCAGCAGGCTCAGACACACTGCTAGCAGATGATCCTGCAAGATTTGACATCCGCCTAGGACTGTACTGCCCCATGTGGGGGCCACTGGCCATCTGCGGACCTGGAGCCCTTAAAGGGTGGCTTGTCCGAATGGAGATGTGCTATGTGCGTACAACTCATTCCTGGACTGAGGAACTTGGGAATGGAAAGAGAATGCAAAGCATCTCGATACTTTTTAGATCGGTGAATATAAAAAATAATAAGCTTCATGTTTATTCATAGAAACATCTTTATAATTATTTATAAATGTATATCGTGTTGAAATGATGCTCTGGATGTCATTGGGTTCCATTGAAATCCTTTCACTCGTTCACTCATTGCTGTCGAGACAAGGCCGACTCCCAGCGATCCCATCGGACAGGGCAGAACTGCCCCTGAGCATTCCTGAGAACATAACTGCTCACCCGAGTAGAAAGCCCTAACTTTCTCCCTCGGAGGGCCTGGTGGCTTTGAACTGTTGACCTTGTGGTGAGCAGCCTAACGCATCACCACTGCGCCCCTAGGCCTCCCTTAAAAACCTTTAGAAAGGAAAGGATTAAATTGATGCTACCGGTGTATCTTTACTCTTTTAATGTGGCTGTTTGAAAACGGGAACCAGCAGATGTGGCTCACGAGATGTCATTTCCATGTTCTGGAGGAAGGAGGCTGACGTTTCTTGGGGCTTCAGGGAGATGATGCAAAGCCCAGGAAGCCACAGGTGTGGCCCGGAGAGGGCCAGGTCAGATGCAAATGAAGACAATCCCTGTGCAGCGGAGATGGGCTGGCAGGCATGGCAGCCGGGAGAAGGTGGCCAGTGGCCAAGAGCAAGGGGTTGGGGCTTGGAGTCGGGTGATGGAGAAGATGGTTGGGAGCACTCTCGGAGGGAGAGTCAGAAACAAGGGGGCACGGCCCTCCATGAGGGAGAGTGGAATCTGGCCATGCCTGGGAGACTTGGGGCACCGCCTTATAGCTTGGACACACGTGTGATTCGCAGGCAGGCAGGAGAGTGTTGGGGAGCAGTGAGATGTTGGGGATCTGAGCCCAGGAGACAGGTGGAGGATGGAGAGTTTGTTTGGGGAATCTTAACTCAAGCTGTGGCTTGAGTCTGCAGGGCTAGAGGGGAGTGGGGTGCAGAATGAGAAGGGGGGGCAACTGAGCTGGAGAAGGAGGAGTGGCATGGTGGTGCCACCTAAAAGTGACGCCCAAAACCCCACAGACACTGACACGCGTGCGCCACCCCCCCCCCCAAGGAAAAGGGGGGGGGCAGGGAGTGGCACAGAGGGTCTGGGGCTGCAGAGGTCTTGTGAAATGGGAGCTGGTTTTGTCACTGTCCCCAGGCAGCCAAGGATCCTTCCTCAATTTCTTAACTTAAAACTCTTTTCAAATGGAAAGGGTCCTCCTGAACTTATACAAGCAGCCCAGGTGGGGTGGCCCTACTGGATTCTAACTGTCCCCAGAAAACGGGCCTCCTGAACCCCAGCGCTGCATCCAGGTCCTTATCCAGGGCCAGGTCACCTCCTGGAGGCGATGAGGACACATTTGGGGCACCTCACACGAGATCAACTCTGCTCACTTAAAGAGGCCAGTGAGCAGCAGTCAGAGAGGGCTCTCGAAGAGATCGGGGCAGGGTGGCTGGCCCAGGCCAGTGGCCGACCATGTCGAGTCCATGGCCAGGCAGGGGCCACGGGTTCCTCCAGCACACCTCCTGGAGGAGCCAGACTCTGAGCCTCAGTAGGCCTTCCTTCTCCAGGGTGAGACTGAGCACCCAGACCCTCTGAAGCTACCTTCCCCAGAGGACCGGACCCCAAACCCACAGTTACCATCAGAGCTACCGCTGCAGACACCTGGGGGGGGGGGGAGACGGGGACCCTGAAGGACCAGAGTTATTGCAGAGCACTGGGGTCCTCTGAAGAATTGGCCACAGACACCTACCGGCCAAGGCCTCAGAGGTGAGTAGAAGTGCCATCTAGGGTTTTCAGGGAAAGGGGCTCTGGTGGCAGAGTGGGTATTCATTCAGCTGCAATCTGCAAGGTCAGTAGTTCAATACCACTCACGATTCCTTGGGAGAAAGACAGGACTTTCTACTCCCGTGAAGAGTCATGTGGGGAACAGAAGGATTTCTCTTAAGCTGTGTCCCCAGTAATATGTACCAGACTTAGCTGCTTGAGTATGACTGTACACTAGGCGGTCAGCGAAAGTAGATCAAAGGTTATTCTCCTCAACATCAGCCATCTAGAGCTACCAGACTGTATAGTCTGACTCACCCTAAGGAGGGCCCATTCCCTTCTGACATTATTCCCTTGAAGGAGTGCCCAAAGGTAAGCCCGGGACCACTCTAGGATGATAAGCTTAGGCTACCATCTTGCCACACATGCCCCCCTATTCCCTCCTCTTACTATTGCGCGTTCACCCCTAGGTCATCCCCCTCCTATTGCTTGCATTGCCTATGTTACAACCCCTCTCTGTGACGTAGGTTGTTATCTGCTATCAGGGGGTTTGCATGCCTCCCAGTATAGTAATTGACTGCTTTATTGTATGAGACACCAGAGTGATCAAACCTGTTCAAGGATGAATTGTACTGCCCCTCTCTGTGACGCATGATGCTGTGATGTTTCCCCCTAAAGTAATATGATGCAGGGTTAGCAATAAATAAGGAGGCTCCCTGGTTCTCGGGAGGGTGGCTGAGGAGGACGAGGCAGCTGCTTCTACCCTCACGGCTAAGTCCCCTCCACGAGGACCATCAAGTGGGGCTGAGGTGAGCAATGCTACCATGAATTGCGTCTGACTCCATTACTTGACTCCATCTTTTAACTCTCATGCGCTCTATGATTTTACTATAAGCGTTACTTGTTATCGCTGTACAATTGCGCCTACTGAACCTGTGATGTTTTGTGGGGTTCCCTCTTCCCTTTAACCCCACAGAGTCACAGTCTCGGAAACACTGTCCTACTAGGTTGCTGTGAGTTAGCTTCGACGCTATGGGTGGGAGTTGGGATCTCAGTGTTTAGTCCCAGGGTTTTCTCCTAGGGCTTCCGGTTAGCTATGGCTGTTGGCGTGAGGCACCATTGAGTCTGGTCCAACCCAAAGCGACCTCATGCCCAACAGAATGAAACATGGTCCAGTCCCACGCCATATTCACAATTGGTCTCAGACACTGTGTCCACCCCAGCAACCCAGCTGCTCTGGAAGACTGAAACCTCATTTCCACAAGACAAAGCCCAAGCTAGGCGATATCTACGTGATGCCGACTCTCAGAGATCCCAACCAAGGTAGGGGCCCCCTTTCTTCCTCGGCCACAGCTCTGTCGCTGTTACAAAACCACTCTGTGCCTCTGTCCCTCCCAGCCATGTCCTGACACACCGCCGTTGGCCCCCAATGCCAAGAACAGGACTCGGCACATCGCAGCGCAACTGGGACTTGTTTTGTGAATGAGTCAATTTATTCATTAAGGTATGGGATGGCCCGACACAGAAATGGTGGCTGGGCAGGGGACGAGGGAGGAACTGCATAAGCTGGAGCCAGGCCTTCCTGGCACGACCAGGTAGCCAGAGGAAGAAGGCCATGTCACCTCCAGCCGCTGGGCCCAGATCTTAATGGCCTGGCAGTGAGGTGTGTGCATGGCGGAGGGGCCTGCCGAAGAGGTAATGGTGAGGGGGCGGCTCTGCCCACCTCCGATTATTGCTTAAGTCTTTCTGGCAGTGCCAGCTGCCTCCCCCGGGAGTACAGGCTTGTCCATCACAGTGTAGGCTGGGGTGTGTGGCTGAAGGTGGGGTGGGATGGGGAGACTGTTGCCACTGCCAGTGGGGAAGACAAGAGAATGTTCCAGAGGACTTGGGATCTTGGAGAGTGGAGGCAGCCCCCTGGGTTTGGACCTCACTCAGCTCCTGTCTCCAGGACCGTTGGAAGGGAGCCCTTGACTTGAAGGCCCCCTCAAGCATTTCCAGGGGGGGCCAAGGAGCAAGCTGGCTTGAGAGGGTCCACAGCACCCCCAGGCAGGAGCCTAGATGGTTTGGTGTCTGCTGACATGGAAGCCCTTGGGGGGGAAAAATGGTGCCCGAATGGCCGGTGGGGCAGGTGGGTCGCTCAGGCCTGGAAGGAGGCCTTGACCACCCTGCCCTTCAGTGGCTGTGGTGGCCGGAAGTTGTTCACCATGTGGATCCTCTCATCATCCTCTGAGCTGAAAAGCAGGCTCCGGAACTTCTCCATCTCGAGGAAGCAGAGCAGGGATGCTCAGGGCAAACGGGGCCTGCAGGAGTCCCGTCTGACCCCAGGGGCATCTTCTAGTGCACGCTGCCCCGCCATCTCTGCCTCCTCTGTCCCCTGTCCTTGGCCCCACTTCTTCCTACTCATGCTCCCTTTGGACGCCAATCCCGCCTCTGAGACAGGGACTCTCTTCCTTCTAAGTAAGACTCGCTCGATGCACACACAGTAGGGGTGGGCCCAGGCTCCAGGCCTCCCTGTTCCTAAGTCCTAATGACTGATAACAAGGTCCTCCATCGACTAAGAACCTAAGCATTTACTAGCGACAGGTGGGCGCCTTGATGGCAGGACATTACGCTGTGGCTGGGGGTGGGCGAGCCAGACTCCCCGAGGGTGAGCTGCGTGCGGCCCTCTTCGGCCTGGTGCCCTGGGAAGACCCACCTGCCTTTCAGAGACGAGGATGGGCTCCCGGAGCACGATCCAGGTGACGCTCTCGCTCAGCGGGGGTGTCGTCAGGGAGCCGGGATAGGTCCAGTAGTGCCGGCTGGTAGGCAGGAGGCACTTGGGGTTGAAGCAGCTGAACTGGGCCTTGGTGCCCTGGGGCAGGGGTGGGAGGGACCCAGGGATCAGCACAGACCTCCCCCCAAACCCCAGGACCGGCCCAGCCGCTCCCCACCCCACTCCCTTCTGTGGGCTATGTTTGGTCACTCCTTGGCCCGCTGATGCAAATCACGTGGGCAAATGTTTGTGATCCTGGATGCCACCTTCCGGTCTGGGGTGACCCCTCCGCTCATTTGCTTGTGCCTAAAGGATGGAACTCTCTCTGGGCCTCAGCTTCCTGCTCCCTGAGCTCTGGTCCTTCCTGCCCGAACCTATTCACGTGACTAGCAGAACCCATTCCTGCAGGCAGCCGGACTACAGGCTGGGCAGCTAAGGGGCCACGGACCCAGAAAAAGAGGAGTCAGCCGCCAGGCACTGCAAGTGCTTACCCACACCCTTCCTCTCAGGGAGGGCTTGCTGCCCCCAGCGGAGGGGTGGCTGGGCCTGACCTGGCAGCAAGTCTCTTCCTCCCGTCCCACGGGCTGGTCTGGGCCTGGTCTCACCTTAAAGCGGACCATGTAGAGCGCGTCTGTCAGGCGGTTCATACTGGGGTGCTCGTCCCCTGTCTGCGAAGGACAGGCGGGATGAGCACGACACTGATCATTCTGGAACTGGGGGTGGCACCAGGCCTCCCAGCGTCCTCTAGGTTGTAGCTAGTGACCACTCACCTCCAAGAAGACCCCAACCACAGCCAGGCCATCAGGTGCCGAGGCCGCCTCCCCAAAGGTGCTGTATTTCTTGGCATTCCAATGAACCAGGTGTAGCTAGAGACCAACAGCAGGCCAGGCCTGCACTCAGCACCCCTGGGGCTGATGGGCTCTGAGTTAGGCTGCCTTCACTCCCTCCAGGCGTTCTGGTCTGGATACAAAGCCCTGGGCACTGCCTGCCAGACCCCTGTTAACATAGAAAGCAGCAGGGGCCCTACGGGGGCCAGGAGAGTACCCTTTGCTCTGAGCCCAGCCCTTTCCTGAGCCCAGGGGACTCAGAGGACCCTGGCTCAGCCCCCTGGCCTCCAGCAAACAAGCTGTGAGGTGGTTGATGGCCACAAGGTGACACATCCCTGAGGAGGTGGCACCTGCTACGGAAAAGCCAAACCCTGGAGATATGAAGGCAAGGCCTTGCCTAAAGGCTCAGAAATGATTACTGGTGGAGAGACTTCAAGGGCGTGGGGTAGGGGGCATGGATTTGCCTTCAGAAATGGCCTGCAGGTCTGCAAAGCAGGAGCACAGTAGGCAGAATGGGGTAGGGGCTTCTCTCCTTGGTGTGCTCCCCCAACCCAGTCAACCCTCAAGGATCTGAGAGCCCCTAGAGCAAGGGGTGGGGGCCTTACCTCGCTGGGGAAGGACTTGCCGTCCACCGTGTGTTCAGAGCCTGCACCATGCTTCTTGCCCCAGTGGAAGTGGAGCTGCTTGAGTCGGTAGGGCCCATCCAGGGGGCCCCCGGTCACCACTGAGGGCAGAGAGGGGCAGGGTGGCATTGGGGCGAAAGGACCCACACCCCTGGAGGACAGATAGTCTGGAAAGGGGATACACTGTTCATTGGAAAAATGCACTGGGCTGTCTAGACTTGGGTCTGTCCCTGCCCAGCTCCCACCCTTAGTTGGCCCAGGGAATTCAGGGGTCACAGAGAAGACTCCTCCTCGTGGCCTCTCCTCATTCCTCCTCACTTTCTCCCAGAGGCAGGGTCTACACCTCCAGGCCCCTTTACCACTAACAGTAGGTTTTTCATCCATGGGGTCCTGGCCCAGGGCAGGGGGCGGGAGAGACAAAAGTTAACTTGTTTAGTTAACATAGTAGCCCAGGAGGACAGAACCTGTTATGATCTTTCTTTTATTGTCTTTTATAAAGGACAAAACTGAGGCACAGGGAGGGCCAGGCACCTGGCCAAGGGCATCCATCAAGGCACTAAGCAGGTCATGAGTCTGGGGCCCAAGAGGCCAAAGCCCAAGTCCCTAATCACTAGGCTGCACTGCCTCCCCCAGAACATTGGCTCTATAGACAGGGGCACCGTAGGGTCTCCACTCTCCTGGCCAGGATTCCCCCTCACCTCTCTGGTGGGTCCCGACTTTTTTGATTTTCCCCCCCGCCCCAATGGCCGGATAGCTGGGGCCATGCCTAGTGCCTCCTGGGACGGATTGAATTTCCACCTGAAAGGGATCTGGGCCATGAGGGCCCCCCAGCCGGCCTGAATGTGAGCCCCTGGATCAGGTGACTGGTGCCTGGCTCAGAGTTCTGTGGGGCCCCTCCAACCCGGGTGACCAGGGCAGGGCCTGATCTCTGACTGGAGCTCAGTGGTCACTGGGGTACAGCCATGTCCTCTCCAAAAGCTCATTGTGGGAGCCTTCCCTGGGACTCCGTACCAGGAAACGTCTCTCTCCCAAGGACCTGTTGGATCTCCTCCCTTACGCAGCAAGGACCAGAACCGATCCTCTTTCCTTTTCCCCCTGGCCTGCTAGGGAACTCAGAACGAAGCCATCAAGACCGGCTTCATCCTGAAAGGCCTAGCTTGCCCTCTTCTCTGTCTTTTTATCTTTCTATTTGAAACATAGGTGCTTTCAGAGTGTTTGGTGGGGGAGGAGGAGGGGCAGAGTGACTCCCTTCACATGAGAAACTAATAGGTTCTCTTCTCTCTCCACACCACCCCCCACAGGCCTGATCAGAAGGACACAACCCCTTCATGAGGAACCCTCTTGGGGCAGCTGCCTGGACTCTAATCCCACGGCAAAGAAGTGGCTAGGAGTTGCCCTTGACCTCCCGGGACCACGGGGGTTGGGACCACCTTGTGGGAGGGTTGAGAAGAGGGGCCATGAGGGCTAGGCCAGACTGGTTCTGGCCCGCCCCCATTCCTTAAGCCCCCACTTGCCCATCTGGGAAGTAAATTCTTGAGAGGAGAAACTCAGCTGCCTACGACCTTAGCCAGGGGATTGGCCATCTTGGCCAGAGAGGAAATTTGTCCTTTGGTCACATGGCAGTCCAGGGAGTGTAGGCCAAGCCGTCTGAAAGCACTCTGTGGGAGGGATGGAGCATGTCCTGAGCACCCGCTGTGTGCCCCTGCTACAGACACCTTTTCACTTTCAGCTGTTTCTTCTCCATGACCTTACAAGGTCAGATGGCTCCCATTCATTGTATGGATGGGGAGACTGAGGTTCAGCCTGGGACTTTACCTCCAGTTAGAGAGGGAGTCTCCTTTTCCCCTCCCAGCAGGCTGCCCCTCCTGAGCCTGCCCAACCAGGATTCAGATGGGGGTGCCAGGTCCTGGCAGGGGCCACTCACCGGTGCGGTCATCGCAGTCCTTGAAGTCCACCTGGACCGAGTGGCCGTTGTTGGTGATGCTGAGGGACGTGCAGGCCTCATAGGAGAGCTCCAGGGGCCGCAGGCTGGGTGAGTACACAGCCTGGCTAGACACGATGTTGATGGGTGACTGTCGGTCGCCCTGAGCAATGGGATACAGCTGGTGCCACTGTGAGGGGCCTGCAGGTGGGTGGGTGGGGGGAGGCTCAGGCCAGCTCGGCTCTCCAGTGGTCCTAGGGTGGTTTCTCTGGCATCCTTCCAGAGCAGAGCTCCAATCTTAGCATTCCACCTCCCCCCTCGGCCTCTGCTTTCTTATCTGTGAAATGGCCTCACAATTGCTCACGTCTGGGGCTGCTAGTACACCCAGAGAGGCAAGGCATAATCCAGCTACAGGCTCAGGAGTGGCATTGGGAGACCCCTAGTCCTCTCAAGTCCCTGGCCTGGGGGTGGTTTCCACTGGCCTTAGGGGTCATTGTGACAAACACTCCTGGCTGCCCAGCTTTCACTCTGTCACATCCATTTGCTCCCTGGCTCCTCACAGCCACCCTGTGAAGGGGACATTCCCATGACCCACTTCACAGAGGAGGAAACGGAGGATGACATATGCACACGTATGCACACACACAGTTAAGCTTTAATGCAAACAACCAGCATGTGCATACACTGCCCTTTACCATGCGCCCCCCTTCTCCTACCACCCCCCCATCTCCCCAGGCAGAAGCTCAAAGGCCCATAGAGCACTTCAGATGGGCACACACGTGTGCACAGGACCTGGGCTCACCAGGTCCAGCAACACACACACCTGACTCACACATATGTGCCCTTACACAGAAGTCCCTCTTACTGTGAAACCAAGTCTGCGGGAAGGGCCCACCCCTGGCACATGCCAGTGCACACCCACACCTGCACCCACTCTCACCCACCACCTGCCTCCCAGGGGCGCCATCTGCAGCCGGAGGCTCAGCAGCTCCCTGGGGAACATCCTGAGATGCAGCCTATTTTTAGTGTCACTGCCGGCTGGTGCTGCTCCCCCCCTTTTGGCTTCTTAAGTTTTCCTGGGAAAACAGCAGCAGGTGCCGACAGAGCATCGTCCCCAAAGCATGACTCAGACTGGAGGCCCAATGGGCTATTTTTGAAGCCCTCTGAGCCCTGCCACACGCATGCACGCCGGCCTCTCTGTTCTCCCTCTTCCCCTTCCTCATTGCCCCTCAACAGGTGGCTGGATGTGTGAGGGGCAGCACTGTGTGGGGCACTGACCACTCAGGGCTGGTGGGCAACACCAGGAAACAGGGCAAGAGCAGGCTGGTTGGGAGCTGTGCCTGCAAGTGCTGGGGGAAGGGGCGGTGTGC